ATTATTATTATTATTATTATTATTATTATTATTATTATTATGTTTTACTAGACAGAAGTGTTTGTAAATACTCCAAACGTGTTGCATCGTGAATCTTCATTTCTAACAGTGCTACGGATTCTGCTAGGATTCATCCAAGGGGATCCCAGCCCCAAATATATTTCTCAGGGATTCAGATCTGTTCCTCAGAGCCTTGGTAACAGTCTGCATCCTCTTTCTCCCCCGCATCTTAGTTGCCCTGTGTGTGTGTGTGTGTATTGTGTGCCTTCAAGTCATTTCTGACTTATGGCAACCCTAAGCCGAACCTATGAGGGGTTTTTGTGGCAAGATTTGTTCAGAGGAGGTTTAATAATAATAAATAATAATAATTTTATTTAATACCCCGCCCCTCTGAGAACAATCGGGGCGGCTTTGCCATTGCCTTTCCCTGAGGCTGAGAGCATGTGACTTTCCCACGGTCAGTTGCCCTATAGGGTATGCTATTCAAAGGGTTGCTATTAGGACAAAATTAGTCCCCACCTGCTTCTCTCAAGCTGCAGAACCCACCCAAAAACTCTCCCATACATGGCAATTTAGCATTAAAAACTATCTTCTCTTGGAGCAGGCTTTAAAACACACACACACATGGACGGATGGACGGACTTCCCATTCAGAGGGATATTTCCAAGGGTATCCCATTTGATGAAGTAAAGGTTAACCCTTCACCCCACAATTTGCTCTCACCATTCTATCCTGTGTTTCCTATTAAGCTTAGAATAGACAATTCCATTTGTGCCAGTGGAAGCTGTTGCTTTTTTTAAAAGTTGAATTACACAGCAGGAATTGTCCTTTATGGCCAGGGGTGGGTGGAAAGCGAGAGACGCTTGTTGGGGGGGGAGTTGAGTGAGGATAGAAAGATGAGCCAGGCGTGGTGTAATGGTTTGAGTGTTGGACTATGACTCTGGAGAACAGGGTTCATTTCCCTGCTTGGCCAAGTCATATGCTCTCAGACTTGGGAAGGCAATGAAAAACCTCCTCTGAACAAATTTTGTCAAGAAAATCCCATGATAGGTTTGCCGTAGGGTTGCCATAGGTCAGAAATGCCCTGAAGGCACACAGCAACAAAAGGTTTAACATCTATGTCTCTGTGTGTGCGCACTCACTCACGTGCACTTTCAGGTTAGCTGTTGATTTATGGTGACCCCATCAATTTCATAGGGTTTTCTTACCCAACAGATTGGCCAGGAGATCCTTTTCCAGGTAACTCAAATGTGTTTTAGAACTTGGCTTTCTGCTTTCGTCTGTGTTGTATGGGTCCTTCTGATCTCCAGGTACTCAGGTTTGTGTTGAGAGTCTGTGTATGTGTGTGGAGGAGTGGAGCTTCTCCTGATCTTGAGAGGTAGTAATTGGTTTTGGGTTTCCTAGTGTGCTTGCAGCGTGTTTGTGTGTGTATGTGTGTGTGTTTGTTGAGGTCTGGGGGAAAGTCTTAATATCCATCACATGGAGTGACAACAGCAGAAATTGTAGATAATGGAAAAGAACAGCAGTGGGGTGGTGGAGAGATCCTTCCATGGAGACCCCCTTACTTTTTATTTCTTTCTTTAATTCTTTCTAGGCTTCTTTTGCCTCTTACTGTGCTCAATCTTGGTCCCATCACACCCATCCGCACAGCTGAACCTACTCTTCCATTCCTGATTCCCACCTTTTATTTTCTTTCCTAGTCTTCCTGCTTTCCCCCTGTTCTCCTATTGCCCTCTCCAACCCTCCCTGCAACCCTTAAGTGCCCAGCAACATCCTTGACAATGGGTATGAGCTTTTGTAAGTGGAAACTCTTTGTTTTGAAGTGGAGGTGGTTCGATGTGGCCTTTTTACCAATCAAAAGTGCATGTTGTGTTTAGCACAAAACCTTTTCCAGGAAAAATGCTGTGAGCAGACCAAATGGAGCACAAAGAAGGTGTTCAGTCATCTAGGGAGTGCTTTCCAAACTGAGCAATATCTTGAGCGCAAATAGGCTTTAAGCCTTGGAAGCAAAATTGAGTACACTGGATCTGAAATGGAAAACTGTGTTCCCAAATAATCTTGTGATTTCAAAAGAGAATTATATTCCAATGTCAAGTATGAAACTGCATTGACCGCCTGTTTCTCTTCCAGAACGCTGCTTGAGGATCTTCAGCTCAGTGACAGTGAAGATGGTGATGATGACCAAGTCAGTGTGTGTATACAAAATTATAAATCCTATAAATGCACAGAATACCCATTTAAATTTTATTTGGTTTGTTTTTTCTTTCTCATCTGAGTAAATTAACTTTTCCTTCCATCTTCTCTTGTTGTTTTCTTTTTTCTTCATTATCAGGTTTCCGATAAGCCATCTTCCTCTTCAACCCCTCCCAGGTACAGTTTCTTTGGCAAGAGTTACTATGAATAACTATGGGTGGGGATGGGGGCTTGACATTGGGGTTCTTTTATGAATGAGAAACTTCCAGTAATTGGAGGGCTGCACCTCCAGGAGACATGATGGGCCATTTCAGGACATTTCCCATGAAGGTCTTTTTTTCAAAACAAGATGACTTCTGATATTTTCTAATTTTAGGAATGCACCCCTTCCCCCAATTCCACAGTATAGTGGAAGAACTAAATGGTAACAAATGGCCAATTGCACTTGCTAGGGACTTCTTAGGAGTGTGACTTTCTGGTCTTCATTTAATTTAGCAATGGTTAGGATTTGCATTGACATGCATATAATGCAAGGCAACAGTTAATACTGGGAAAGGAAAGGAGAACTGGCACTGAAAAGGGACAGGGGAAGCAGGTGTCCTCCAGCTTTATTTTTGATATAAGCCTTAGTTTACAGAGAGCTAGCTTTTCACTTTAGGCTCTAAGGATGTCATCTTCCTTCTTGCAATGGTCTTAACACATTCAAATATATTATGCATAAAATCAACAAGCTAACCCTTCTCTGTCATTGACCCCATTCTTCTTGAAAACATTACCTGTTGAATTTGTTCTTTTCCTGGATCTCTTTAAATCACATTCTGGCAAGGAAAAAATGACCACCTTACAGGCTTCTCAGTTTATATTATTAGTGAGGCAGCAGGATCATGTCATGTTTTTTTAGTGTAGCCTGAAGTGATTCAGCAGTTCTTTATTACTGTTGAGAATGTTAGAATGAGGTCATTACTGTTCACTTCTCATATTTCTATCCTGCCCTTTTTGCAAAGAACTCAGGGAAGACTGCCTTCTGAGGTTGCCTTATGGGTAACCTCGCAAACTACTCTGTCAGATAGGTTAAGCTGAAAGTTAAGAGTCTGGCCCAAAGCCACAAAATGAACTTCACAGCTGTGGGATTTTAGCTTGCACATTTCCATTCCAACATGGTGTCAGCTGTACTTTTTTGAGGTTCCCATTCATGGGTGCATTAATTCTTATCCACTTCTGTTTATATCAGGGGTAGGCAACCTTTTTGAGCCAGGGGCCGGGTTGCTGTTCCTCAGACAATTGGGGGGCCAAAGCACCATAAATAAAATAAAATAAAATAAAATAAAATAAAATAAAAATGCATGCACACTCTCTCAGCCCCAGAAAAGCCATGGCAAAACCCCTTTGGAGATTTTGCCAAGAAAACCCCAAGAACAAGTAATAACAATAATCAATATCATCATGGAGGACGGCGGCGGCGGCAGGACTGGCCTGGGGCTGGTCCATAGGCCTCAGGGGGCCGCATCCGGCCCCCAGGCCTTAGGTTGCCTACCCCTGGTTTATATTCTTGGGACTTAATTTACCATGGAGTAAAATCCAGAGTTAGCATTTCATCTTTGGTCCCTTTTGAAAAGGAGAAGGGATTGATTGGCTCATTTGAGTGACTGCATCCAGAAAGCAGAATTCTCTGGGTATTGTGTATTGCAGGGGTTGGCAACCTACGGCCCAGAGGCCGGATACAGCCCTCCCGAGGCCTTTGGCCTGCCGCCGCCGCCGCCCCCCGCCGCTGCCACAGGTACCGAGTAGTGTGCATGTGCAAACGAGTTGCTGCCACCATTTTGGAAAACAAAATGGTGACCGCGACTCACTCGCACATGCACAGTACACCGGAAGTACTGCGCATGCGTGAGCGAGCGTGTGCGTGCATGCTCAGTACTTCCCCCTCGGCCCACGGAAGACCTGGGGACCAGCAGACCGGCCGCAGGTAAGAAAAACTTGCCGACCCCTGGTGTACTGCATTAAAATATAAAAGACAGACAATAAAATGTTAATTAGAAATAGACTATAATTAAATAAAGTATAAGACACTTTATTTAGCTAAGGGCCTTTACAGACTACTAGAAATAGTGCAGCTTGAGGCCACTTGAGCCAGGACAGTTAAAGGAATCATGGGAACTGTAGTTTATTGTGGCACCAGAGCTCTCTGACAGAGAAGTCTCAATGTCTCAGAAAAAATACAATTCCCATGATTCCCTAGCACTGAGCCAGGACAGTTAAAGTGGCCTCAAGCTGCACTATTTCTGGCAGTCTGTAAAGGCTCTATGATTCACCTTAGGGTTGCCATATGTTACAAATGAGTAGAAGTCACACAACAACAACAAAATAAATAGGGAAGAGCCTTTAAAAGCACTACAGTGTATGAAATCAAAGTAAAACCAGCAGCAAAATAAATTTGTTAATTGCTATTAAGTCAACTCCAATTTACGGTGACTGTGAATGAGAGACCTCCAAGACACCCTGTTACCAAAAGCCTTGCACAGGTCTTTTAAATTCAAGGCTGTGGATTTCATGATTGGGTCTACCTACCTATAATTCTATTCTCTTCCTGCCTTCCACCTTACCACGCTTCATTGTCTTTTCTAATAAATCATGCATTTTCATGTATCCAAAGTACAACAGTCTCAGCTTAGTTATCTTGGCTTCTAGAGGGAGCTCAGACATGATTTGCTCTAGGTCCCATTTATTTGTCTTTTTGCCAGTCTGTGGTACCCATAGAACACCCCTCCAGCATCACATTTCAAATTAATTGATTATTTTCCTATCTGTTTCCTTCATGGTCCAAGTTTCACAACCATATATAGAAATGGGATATATTATGGCATGGACAATCCTGATTTTAGTATTCAATTCAATTTCCAATTCCTTCATAGGGGCTATACAGACAGCCGCAAAGGAGCAGCTTGCCACCACCGCCACTTTCAGTGCCATATTGGGGCTGCAGCAGCCGCACACCA